CCTCGTATGAGCGAGAGTTGCGCGAGCTACTCACACAGGCGAAACTTACACCAAAGGACAATTTCAATCCGATCGCGGCATCGACGATCGGTGATCCAACATTACTCCGTGATATGACCGAAACGGAACGTGAAAAAGAAGCCAAAACACTGTATCAGGAACGGATGCTTACCATGTGCATACAGATGCCGAAGAAACATCTGGCCGTCGCAATCATGCGGCATTTCACATCACTACCAGAAGATCATGATCACCGTATAGGATTGGAATATTTGGCAAAATTCCAAGAAACACACCCTAAGCCTACCCGCCAACGTCGCCAGCCCCTAGTGACAGAGGCTGAAGCCCGCCATCTGCTAGGTGGTAGCGACAACGATGACGAAGAGCCGGAACTCATGCAAGAATAATGATAAACTGCATCAAAATTGGCCAATTTAACGCCACTGGTGTCAACCATCAGGCACCAGATGAAATCATTGATTCTTGTAATCAAGAAAACATAGACATAATTCTTCTCACTGAAACATATCTTACCTGCAGGCGGCTCCTTACTGACTGGCATCAGTACCACACCTACGCCACCCCGAACAAAACAACTAATAGAGGACGAGCCCTGGGTGGTATTTCATTGCTTGTACGACCAGATCTCAACGTCCATATTCACCACTACCCTATGAATAATCTACACATTTTATCATTCCGGGTTGGTACATACTCCTTCCACGGCCTATATCTACCACCTTCTCTCAATATCGACACCTGCGCACAGCTGCTGGATCAGCTAAACATCGACGATCATACCATCATCATCGGTGACCTCAACGCACGTTCACCAACGATAACCGGCGACCATTCGGACAACAAAAGAGGACGAGACATACTAGAGCCCTGGCTATTTGCAAACAGGCTACACGTATGGAACGGATCACTCGCAAGAGGGCAGCCTACATATCGCGTCGCCAATGGCAGTAGTATCATTGACCTATTTATATCATGCGTTGGGGCCCTAGAAGAACCAGAAATTCAGATATTTGACAGCATCGCAATCAACAACTCTAAGCACCATGTATGCATGCTGTCCTTTACACCGACTACACCCTGGCTTCCACTACCAGCTCCGAACTCTCCACGCTACCATTGGAAACTGCAACGCCTCACGGATCCAGATGTTCATAAACTCTACGTTAATCAATTCAATTGCAACATTGCCAGTCCAGTGAAGTCTCTCAACCACATAGTCGTCAACAGCACCAAAGCCATACCAGACAAACCAACAATTGAACAGCTAGGGAAAGATGTAGTTGCAGCAATCCACAACGCATTGGACACGAGCGTTACCCGCAGCAAACCGCGATCAACACAACGGAAATGGTTTTGGAACAGCGAGCTGCAAGATAAAGCCGATTATCGAGATATAGCGTATAAGCAATGGCGACGAGCCCCCAACAACATTGTAATACGAGCTCGGCTCTGGTGTAAATATATATCCTGTTGTGAAGTTTTTACTCGCGAAGTACACCTAGCAAAAAGACGCAGCTGGAACCAGTTCTGCATCGAATTGGCTACTGCACCAGTAAACGAGGCTAATACCATGATCAAACGGATGCGACGCAACCGGCAACCGAGTCATACCTTCTCTCATCCAGAAGGCCCTCAACAAGCAGTAGAAACCATGGTAACTCATCTGAGCAAAACGTTTAGTGGTGAACGGGCCCAAGGATGCGGTAATACATACTTTGGCATAAAAAACTATGTCGTTGATGAAGACCCGTTCCCAGCACCAGCAATCGGAACCGTTTTACGCAAACTGGCACCGCGCAAGGCACCTAGAGACGATCACATCAATGGCGCCATGCTTAAGCCGATCGCTACTACATTGGCACAGGTATTAAGCAAATTGTTTAGACTATGCTGGGACTGGTCATGGGTCCCCATCTCCTGGCGCACCGCACAAGTCGTGCCCATACACAAGAAAGGTGATGCCGCAGAAGCTAGCAACTACCGGCCAATTAGTTTGACTAGTGTACTCTGCAAAGTCCTTAAGCGCTGCCTACTTCCCAAACTAATGGAGTCAAATACAACGACTGTGAGACAAACACAGTGAGTATCGTTAATAAATGAAAATCTTCAAAGTTAATTTCTTAAAAAGATATATCATTTCAAAATTAAAATTAATTAATTAATTTTTAATTTCTTTGAAAAAAATAATTATTTTTTTCTGATAATAGTTTTTGCTAAGACAAAAAATTAAAAGAAATTTTATGGAAAAACAATTATCTGTGAATTCTGCAATACCCAAAATTAAAATTTTAGTTGAGAATTCAGAACCTTTTTCTTCTTTGAAAAAGAACCATAAAAAGAAGCACTTCGTAAGTTAAGAACTTACGAGTTTTTTTAAGGTTCAACAATGCTCAGTGGAGGTATGGCGCCTAGCATTCCAACGGTGCGTCGCCATCCTTATCGGCGTCGTCTTTGGTCTCTTTGCAACCAACTATGTTTGGCCCTTTGAAGCGCGATCCGAATTACGCAAACAGCTCTCAGACTTTCTGTTACGCATGGCATGGCTGTATCAAAAACTAGTGTCCATGTATTCCGAACGGTCCGATGAAGAACGCCGTGTGATGTCATATGCTGCTGCTGATGGTACCACCACCCTCAAGGATAGCCAGCGGTTCAACCATTTCTCCAGCTAAACTGATTCTCCTATAGATGTGTACTCTCCCGCACTTACGCATATACACACGCACTAACGCTACTAGTACCATCACTACTACCACTACCAAAACATATTGACAACATGAAGAAATACATCGCCCACGTATAATAAGAAGAAAAAAAAAACTTACAATGGCTCGAGGAAATGCACTAGGATGGTCAGCAGGGTTGGCCCACAAGAGATAATAATCAAATGCCCAATCAGACCAATATGTCTACAAATGTTGAGAAGAAATTTGGGGTTTAATTTTGCACTTCGTGTGGATTTTTAATTGCAAATACAGTTGAAAAAGCAAAAGAGTGAATCACCTGGCCGAGAAATGCAACGTATATAAAAAAAACCACAAGCAAAACTGCTTGGCTAAAGAAAAAAAACTTACTCTGTATGCAAAGAAGCATGAGCACAAGATCAGTGCTACTTTGACCGTTTGCATTTGTTCTGCTGCTAACATTATTTTGTAATTCTCGAACCGAAAAAGCGTGGGGAGGAGGGTTGGTGAAAATGAGAAAACTCGTGGGGGGAGATCACGCTCATTGAAATAGACTCTTTTTTGGCTTTCATCCCCCGCTGCTTAACAACCTAAACCCCACGCTAAACGAAATGCGCATAAAACGCAACAGATATGAAAAAGTCCAATCGAATATGTTTTTCTCCATCATCTCTTGTTGGATATTCTTCTTAAAAAAGACGACTGCCGGTGAGGCTATGCAAGCTGGTCATATAATAGCTCACTAGCACCCATGTTATTTTACTTTAAAGATTGTGAGTGTATTTACCTAAAAGACCAAAAGCAGAGAGGGAACTAAACTTTAAGGTTTCTCGGAGATCGCACACAGATATCGTCTTGTTCCCACTTTTATTATCCACCTAAACCTTATCTTGGGGAGATATCATCATTATCGGAAGAAAATGAACTTTTTTGTGTCTCTGTGTCATATACACAACGACAAGAAATTAAGAAAGGATAAGCTATCATGACTGTTCTCCCTCAATCATTCAAAACAATGGTTAAGGCGCGATTGAGTATTAACCTAGTAGCAAAATAGTATTGATGCGATAGGCTCTAATGCACGCGTTACTCCAACTATCGGCGAGCCAACAACGGTAACCTCGTCCTAGGAATATGATTCCGCATTAAAAAGTTATACTGAGCTAAAATTTGCGGTGCCCAGTATTCTGATACGGCCGCAAACCGCAAATCTGCACCGCAAATTATGTGTTTACGGCTAATCGGTTTTCCGCTTATGCAGAAAGTGGCTGAGTGTGCCTGAATAACTTTTCACATTTCTAATTACTGAATTCTTCACACACGTCAAAAGCGCAAGCAAACAACAACAATGCATAGAGTCTCGGACAAGGGGATCTAAGCTCATCAGGGTCTCGGGAACTCTAGCTACAGTAACTACCAATGATAGCACAACTCCATTTGCATCCCGTCAGTCTCAATCGGCGAACGTTGATGTTCCTCCTTCGGAATGGGAAACTGATGATGAAAGAGGACGATGCCGGTAATCTGCCAAGTCGTCAGACGGCGGCTTCCAAATGTGCAGCTCGCTGGGCCAGCCTTTTTCCTGAATTACTCAAGGCCTACAAAGAAGGCTATAAGCAAGCACCGGTTCCAGAGGCCGCTCGACCCTATCGACGGAAGGATCTGTGGTTGCGGCGCTGAGAAGAAGGGCAACAAAAATGTTGCTTGTATTTTTAAGTGTGGTAGGCATTAGTTTTGCTTTTTCTTCTCTTAGAAACAAACAATCAAATAAGTATGATCGTCTGTTTAGGCATTCGGCAGTACAACATCTCGAGTACTGCAAAGTATGCGCTGGCTATTCTTTGTCCCTTGTTTTGATGCGCCGTCATATGTTTCCTTTGACACCAAAAGAGCCCGGCCACGTAGTGCACGTGAACTTGATGCAAATAATCCACAACTTGCATTACATTTGCCGCGTGTCGGTTCATAGCATTGCTAAATGGGCCGAAGCAGATCTTGAGCAAGAGGTACTACTTCTTATTAGACAAATTTTGCGTCTATCATTTTAAACCTGCTCTGTTCTATATTTAGGTTCCTGCTTCGTTCAAGCCTCGCATAAACGATGCACTTTCTGTTTTTGGCAGAATACTTCTCAGCTTGAAAAAGCAGTTGAGAGAGCAACACGGCATTCAGAACAATGATTGTCCCGGTTGCAAATACGTGGTACTGGTTCAAATACATTTGTTGTTTCGGGTTTAGATATAAAACATTTAAACATGTCTATTCCAGTTCTTCCTATTGCTTACAGAATCATATACTTCTCCTTCCTCTTCTTTTTGATCTTGTACCCATATATTTATGTGCTCTATAATATTTGGTAGAGCCATGCCAAGACCGTAGCATTGGACGGTAACTTCCAGCTGCGACACTTTGCACATATCAAAGATGTAGACGGCATGGAATTTGAAGGAGAAGATGAGGTCAACACCATCTGGGTCAACGAAACTGACCTCATCCCTTATAATGAGTCGGTAAGGTGTTTATTCCTACCATTATTCAACAGTGTCTAGAGCGCTCATACCTTTACATATATGATAAGGCCAAGGATGGGTGCGCATCCTTCAGCGCGCTTGAAAAACAGGGCGGCTCAACGAAGGGTCTCGATCAAACCGGTGCCTTTGCGTGCACCTGTGGACACCATGGCTACCCTATTGCTATAGTCGATATGCGTAGCAAAGGCGAACGGTCAGTTTACTGTTGAGTTGTATTTGAACTGCTATATATGTTTACTCATCCATGTACATGTAGTTACACGTATATTCTTAGCCTTTTGAAGAAAGTTACAGAAACTGAACTATATGGAAACGACATACGCATAATGTACGATGTGGGCTGCAAGCTTCGCACTGCCCTAAAGGTACTATTCATTTACTTCAATATATACAGTGTTTTATGGATATTAATATGTTCCTTATAAAACACCATGTCTGAAAGACATCCAAGATGTGCCTATCGCAGTCGGCATTTTTCATATCACTGGGCATAATCCTACTTGCCAAGTTCACTTCCATCCTCGTCTGGTTAAAGGCTTTGGCATGATCGATGGGGAGTGGTTAGAACGAATGTGGTCTTACCTCAACGGTTCTGTATCCATGACACGCACTATGACCCCTCTCAACAGGCGGCTCACATTGTCAAATCGCGCTAGAATACTTGGTTGGTTTAAGGTGTCAATAGACGACCTGACCTATTTCGTCAAAAATGGGATTTCCGGGTTTGCCGATAAAGTATGTACATTGCATAAATAACAGTATCTTTTAGGAAGGCCCGACTGAAGGAGCCCTAGTGCCGTGCTCACTGACTATGGCTATTGCTACAGTATAATCCTACAGAAGCTAAGAGTATGAAACTCCAAACGTTTGTCTGGATATGTACTTGATGATGTATGTAAGACTGAGATGTCCTGGGAGAAAGAGGGCCTACAATGCAGTAATGACGGTGTTGCCTGCTTACTTTGAGGTTGTAGTGGTATCTATGTATGGTCCTTTCTGTTCGGATAACCACTGTTTTTATTGTTCGCCATGGCGCCATGTAAACTTTCAAAGTGTGTGTGGCCAAACGGGTATTTCATGTATTAATGTGAGCTCTGTGACTCCAAAAAGAATCTATTCAAGGAGACATAAAAGCAGTCGGCTGTAACCAAACGCACTTTCATCCTTCTTCTCTTACTTCCACTTCAAACACAGCTCTTCCACTCTACCTTCCTTCTCACTGTACTCATGGAATCTGCCTCTAAAGTAAAGGAAAGCAAGAACACCACAGAGTAGAAGACTAGCGGGACAAAGGTGGCATCTTGAACCACGAAGCACCCACACCACCAGAACAATAGCCGCAAGGGCAACAACAACTTCAACAAGAAAATAGTAGTGGTATTAAAATCTGCCATACTTTAGACGCATGTGTAGAAGGACGACGTGCTCGACAATATTTGAGAGAGGCTCGCTAAACTTAATTTGGATGCCGAGATGGCCGATTTGTACGCTTGTCCTCGGCTTGATTGCCTCAAACCTAAATTCTATAAAACAAGAGACGGTGTTTCGAGCTGTGAAGATAATAAACTGCTTAGATAGAAGTGTTCTGTACAGCAATTTAAGATGAACAAGCCAAAGAGAGCACCAACACAACCTTACAGACAGTTGCATAAAGCAAGCAATGCATCCAGACGAGCAGTGATCTAAACGTCAGTCATCTAGGTACTGAAGCCATTGCATTACGTCAGGTGAATGCCATTGCTTTGGGCGTTGCATGGCGTGCCCAGTGTGCTCGGTAAAGACCTGGCGGGCAGGTGACGCTGTCAACTTTTTTTTGGGGGTCAGGGTGTCCCTGCACAGGCTGTTTGTACCCTGCCACCCCAATGATAATAGGTACGAACAGGGGAAGCAATAATAGCTCATATCCTAGATACAAATAAGCACGGAGAGGTACTACTGTACGCTTCTTAAATGGATGCCAACGTCATTGTCTATCGAGCAGATTTTAGACTTTTGCTGCTTGCTAGTCAGTACGCTCTTTACTCATGGTCTTTTTCGATGCAAACATGCAGTGACATGTATCCCTCATATGGTACGTAGGCCCTGACTGGATCAGCTTACGTAATATCGCATATCGTCATAGACTTTTCAAGGGGACACAGACACGACGTTTACAAACGAGCATGACTTCCATTGTGTATAACGACATCTAGAGTGCGACATTGCATGGAACAACAACAACAACAACATGATTTACTGATACGTGCACACACGACAGAAGCTTGCATTGGAAACTCTGCTCTTTTTTCTTCAAAGGATGAACATCACACACACACACCCGAAACCTTCTTTCTTACTTTTCCGTTATCTACACAGTTTCTTTTCATCTGATGGACACACACCCAAGTACGACTCGTCATCAAGACGGGAGAAGAAAAGTCTATGTAGAAAAGCTGTCTTTCTGGGGTTACACAGAAATGCACATGTCCAAAGTTACACACGCACTCTCAGGAAACGGCCAATCTATTGTTATTGTTCGACTTGTTCACCGCGTCTCTGTCTGTCACTTTGCTTGTCGTTCGTTGTCACTTTTGTTACAGGGCCAACACGTATCTTCGTTAGTTTGTGCGCTCGAGGTAGTAGTAGCTTCTTTTATATTCCCAAGATTGGAAAGTGAGCAGAGAGTAAATAATGGGAGAGGAGCGTTTATTTCTTATCAGTGATTCTATAGTGGATCAGCTGACCCCCCCCCCCCCAAAAAAAAAGGAAGGGACAAAAAGAAGTTGACAGCATCACCTGCCAACCCAGGTCTTGCCAGGTTACACAAGCACACTGGACACACAGAGCAACGCGTCGCTCATCTCCCAAAGCAATGGCATTCAGCCTGACATGTCCCTTTGGAATGTACACCTTCCAGGCTACATGTACATACTAGTCTCGTCTTTGTACACAGCTATATCAAAGTGTTATGGTTCAGCCATCTTGGCATTCAAGTTGAGGGTGGAGAGGAGCAATCAAGTCGTGATTTGCCAAGCTCGGAGACCCTCCGGTACGACAGATACCCAACGTGTATATGACGCTACGAGACTGACTGACTGCATAATACGGTGAGAAGCAGCTTCTCTATCGACACTGATGACGCGAATAAAAGAATAGATTTTTATTTGTTTCACATGAGGCACGCACCTGAGATAGCAGTAAGGTCGATGCCAGTGTTTTCATGGCAACGATGAGCAAGCTTATGTATTCTGGCCACTTTATCTCCTAGTTACGATATCTAACGCGTTGCTTGGAGCGTCATCCACCATCATTGGCTCCAAAAAGAAAGGTCAAATGGTTGATAAGCCGGAAAAGGAAATTCATCCAGATATATAAAAAGAGCCTATTTTTTACTTTCCCCTCCTTTTCCTTCTTCTTTACCTGCTTTCTATCCCGTACTTTTCTACGATGACTTCTCTAAGCAACAGCTACAACCACATCACCGGCTATTACGACTTTGACGACGACGCCACCACTGCCCCTTGGCGTCCTACTATTAGTTGTCTAACCAATTATAATCTACTAGCTGTAATATAGATAATAAAATTGCTATGATCGGTATAACCATCAGTGGCCGAATTAATTATTGATTTACAATAAAAATAATAAAAATTGAATTTTTTTATTTATATTGGTAGCCTCCTATGAGAAAAAAAAGAGCGATTGTTTAAAGTACATAACAACAAATAAAAATGAACGCAACACAACACACTGAACAACTCGATATTGAAATTAAAAATTTTATTGATAATAAATGGACTTTTCTTGATAAATCTTGGCCTGAAATGCAACATAGATTTTATCATAGAACAGCTATTAAAGATATGAAGAATAATACAATAAATGATATAAAGGATGTATTACTTAATAGATTTGGATTTATACCTGTATTTTATTTTCTTACAGTTTTATATGGAAATATTGAATATCCAGGGCCATACCGCGAGATTGAAAAAGGACTTGCATTATTATATCATATGGTATCAGGTGTATCAGGAAAGGATATGCATACTGTTATGCCATATGCAACATTTTATGATTTATATAAGCGGTTCTGGATTACTAACTATAATGAATTGAATAAAAAGGTAAAACAAGATCTAGATAGTATGTTCTCATCACCACGTATTCGCATTCTATCAGCAATAATAAATAATCTAGATGGTTTTAAGAATGTTACACTATTTATTGATGGACATGATAGTAAAATAAAGTATTATAAACCAAATGAGTCACATTCACAATTATATGAATATAAATTAAAAGGGCCAGCTGTACGTACACAAGTTATACAGGATATGAATGAAATAATTACACATGTTTCAGTATCTGAAAAATGTGCTATCGGGAATGATGGTACTATGTTTATTAATATGAAACTATATAAAAAGATAAGTGAGGCAGATTGTTTAGGAATGGATGGTGGATATAACTTATTTATACAAAAGTTTAAAGATAATGCGACAGATGCTGATATAGTTTTTATGATCGTAATTATTTACATCCCATAAGAAAAGAACCAGGACAAAAGTTAACAATGATTGAGACATACTTTAATAACAAGTTTGGATCATTTCGTTCAGCAATAGAAGCACAGTTTTCTATGTTAGGCTCTAAATTTGAACGATTTAATAATAATCGTGCAGCATTGCAAATAACCGATATAAGATATTATAATATTCAGTTTCGTGTTGCTTGTATTCTTACTAATATATGGCGATTTGTAAATAAGTATAATATAGAGGTACAACCACATCATAAATTATGGTATGGAAAAGAATTTGAATTCCCAAGTAAGAAAAACAAACTTGGCTTAGTATTTTCAAATGAGCAAAAAGTAAATACTGAATATAACGAAATGGTTGACATGCAGCAGAAATTTCCACAGCTTAACATTAATCAATCAATAGATATGGCTATAGATAGTGAGGACGAAACTGAAAATAATACATCTAAACGCAAGAGAAAAAATCAAAGAGAACAGAGAAATATAGAACATAGTAATTCATATGAAATTGAGAAGATTATAGGACATGTGTATACTGATAATAAGTACATATTTGAGGTTAAGTGGGTTGGATATAGTGTAAAGGATAATAGTTGGTTAACAGTTGATAAGTTCAATTCCCAGGAAATGCTACATGAATATATGGCCACACATGGTATTCAGCTCTAAATTAATTTCTTACTTATTTGCTTATTAGAAAATTTCATATTGAAACTGACCGCATCAACTTTTCGTTTACTTGCCCAATTATATTTATGTTTTATGCATTCATTAGTTATACTTGTACTTATCTTAGTATCTGTTGATTTATTTTTGACGTCAGTTTCTTTTGTTATATATATATCATCTATTATAGCCTGTTTTATATCCTTATGCTTTTTAAAATATTCTTTTGGCTATATTTCTTCTACTATTTGCTTGTTTCTCCGTTTATTTTTAATGTGTCTTTTTTTCTTTTTACGTTTTGGTATATTAATTGGTATGTTGCAGTCACTGCTTTTCTCTGATTCAGATGTACTTACATCTATGTATTTATGTTTCTCTATATCTTCTGGTGGGTTCCCAATCAGTAGTATCATTTACAACATCATCACATTTTATATCATTAAACACATCTTCCCAATGCCTACAATTTGCTGATGGTGGTACCTTTACAGTTGACCATCCTCTATTATTTTGTTGAGGCGGTTTATGTTGTTTATTGTTCTGTGTATTATTACTATTATGTTTTTCTTCTAGTTCCTTCATATATTCTTCTGTATCAGCTAATTCTTGTAGTTCCTCTACTGTTTTATCCATCGGTGTATATTTTTAATATCATCCTGACCACTATTATGTGTATAACGGATAAATGT